TTAATTTTCTCATAGTTTTTCAGTGATTCTTAGTTGTCAATCATGATCGTACTTTTAATGACCTTTGTACTTTAACATCTTATACACGGCAACTTTGTCATTTAGATTTGATGAATGTATTTGAAAATTATTCAAACAATGAAATTATATTGCCAGTTGGGGTGTGGGTATAGATAAGAGCTGAATTCTCTCCTACCACCACAGCCACACCTTCCTCGGTATTAAAATACGAGCAGATGATTACTTGGACTGTTCCTTGAAATATAGGTTTGAAGTTCCTCTATCTGAAACACATGTGAAAATCAAAATTACATCGAAACGAAACATCTTTTTCATGCATTTTGCTGAATATTTTTCGAAAATGAAGGATTTTAAAATAATTAGGTTTTATATAGTATCGGTCAAAAAGATGTCCCAGAATCTCCGCTATCGATTACTGAAATCTACAGATCGTTAGTTAATACCATTCTCGAGTTCTATGACTTGCCTTCATCCCGTTTAAATTCTGACGCCGGCATCAGAACGTGTTTCATATTTTAAAATGGCAGAAATTGCACACATAATTTTTCTGATTTTCAATATTAATAATTATAAAAAAAAAAATTTTAATATTGTAAAATAAATTATCTTCGTTGTCTTAGTTCAAAGCAACATTTAAAAAATCTTTTTGATGATGGTTATACAATAAAAATTTGTTTACAATCTTCACTGAATTCAACATTAGATCAAACAGTTCTCGATTGTTTTTCATCAAATTTTACCTTAAAAGAACATCATATAAATATATTACAATATGAAATAGCTGAAAAATAGGTTTCATTAAAAGATTTTTTTTTCTAAACTTGAAAATTTATTGATTAATGAACGTATAACTGATTATAGTATCTTCACAAAATACATTTGATAATCTATTTGTTAATTTTGTACGTGATCAATATGATGCATCCAAACAAACAAACAAACAAAAAAACGTCTAGCTGAAGGCAAGAAAGAAATTTATGCATTTTCACTTCATTACTTTTCTTCTCAATCTTTCTTCATATTAAGAATATTTCGATCTTATATATGCATAGAGAATCATTTCTATTTCCAATCAAATGCAGTTTTATTTTTAGAAATCAAAATCAAGTTTAACAACAACAAAAAAAAAAGTCTTTTAAAATAATATCATTTATGATTAATCAATATGTATAAGTGTTATTTTTATTATTTGATCCATATTTGAAGATGATAGGACCAATTTGGATCTTCTACGATCAAATACGTTGATGGTAAACGATCTTTTAACCATTTAATAACTTCATCTATGTTTATCTGTTTCACATTGAAAAATTGATCATTCTTCTTTGGTTTTGGCAAGTATACGGTATTTTTTCCATCTGTACATTTAACATATAATACTCGGAGATTGATCATATTTTTACAAATAATAATAACACTTTCAAGATATTCAATTCGAACATAAAGTATTTGACATTGGATACCCAATAATGAAGAATTCAATGTAACACATTTTTCTTCATTAAAACAATAATAATTATTTAAATTCAGAATACGATCTGTTTTATTTATTAATTTGAATAATGATAATTGAAATGGCAATGAAAGATCTTGATGAACAGCTAATCTAGAAAGATGATGTGCTTGATCAAGTAAAAATTGTAATTGAGAATAAAACTCATCAGTATAAGACAATATTTTAAGTGAATGAAGTCGTTTTAAATTTGGAACTATAGACCAAAATTGATTATTGATAGGAAATTTTATATCAAGTTCTTGAATGTTTGGTAAACTTATATTGGATGGAATTGATGAATTAAAAAAATAATCGAACATGATCGAAGTTATGTTATTATAAAACTCTTGTTGATTATCATGCAGATATGTCGATTGTAACAAATCAGGATGTTTTAATTCATAATAATTGAATAATTTTGATAAAGTATAAAGATGAATTGTATTGTCTGATGTAATACATCGAATAAACCAATTATGTTCATCAATCCAAAATGAACTTCGAAATGAGTTAACTAATTCATTTGCTTTTTCTTCTATATTAACATTATAAAATGTATCATTCATTCGAAGTTGAAATACTTTCAATTTTGGTAAATAGTTACAAATGACATGTTCCCATTGATGACCATTGATAAATTTCCACCATAAAGTAATATTCAAACGATGTAGATTAGGTGTATTTTGTAAAAATGAAATTATTTTCGAAGTATCAGACATATGATAAATACTAATCTTTAAATCGATTAATGTTGGAAAAGAAGAAGATGGTATATAATAAACATTAATACCAGAAAAAATTATTATCGAAAGATATTTAATATAAGGTGTATATTCAAATAATTTATTTATTTGATTCCACGTAAGTTTATTATTATACATATTTAAATATTTGAGAGATGTTGAGATTTTTGTTGGAATGGAAAAAAAATTATATCCTTGTATGGAAATATCAACATTGCAATGAGTAAGTTGAGGAAAATTCCATATATTGTTGACAATTGATTGAAAATCCTTTTGATTATATTGAAAACGAGAAAAATAAGAGTAAAAATTTAAATAAGTGAGATAGTTAAGATGATGACATTCGTCGACGATTTTCATTAATGTATCATATGAATGAAGATGATAAATAGAAAGTGATCGTAATCGAGTAAATTGACTAAATGATGATATGTACGAGCGAAATAAATTAATTTGTCCAGGAGTTTTTTCATTATCAGAAAGACTAAGACTAATAATTCGATCAGTAATAAATGGTAAATGTTGGGAACATATTGTATCAAAATTATATTTAGATATTGAATTAAATTTAAAATGATAAGATTGATATTGTTTATAGAGAAGAGAATTGAAATGATAATTGAGACCATTAAATGCATGAAGAAGATCAATACCATTGAAATAATCGAATAGATCAAGTAATATTTCGTTAGGTAATGATTCGAATTTCATCTTGTTTTCTTCGCTTTATTTACAATTTGTTGCAATCTATGTAATAAAAAAAAAAGCAGGTGAGGGTGAGGAGACGAGATAACTTTTTATCTAGCTGCGTAACTCGGATGATTTAGTATGATTTAAAGGCAGGAAGAAAAGTTGGAACAGCAGTAATATCATCGTTTTTCTCCATACTGTATCTTTGGTAGTACTATTCATTCTTTTTTGTATTGGTATAGTTCTTTGTCGTGTTATTCCGTGTAACTCGAAGTATTTTTTTCAGGCAATTCTCTAACATTTTCTCTACTAATAATTGATCATTTCACAGCTAGAAAATTTTGGTGATAAAAAAAAATGCTTGCCGATCGTAGATGAGAAATAAAGTTTGATTGTTTTACAGTTGCTTTATATACCAAAAAATGAAGCACCCTCGTCGGTCACGTCGTCTGACCTTTTGTCCTCTTATAAATATGGTGATCGCTGAATCACCATGTCTATCTTTGTTTTGTTTTTATTTGCACAAAACTGACGACCTATAGATCCTAACAGCATATAGCATGAAGATAGTACACACAAAACAAAAGAAGAGAAAGTAGAAAATTCAGCACAAAAAAAGAAAAGAAAAGGTAAAGTTGAGGGTGTTGGTATGGGGTGT